GGGGGGGGGGTGGGGAGTGGTGGTGGAGGGCACCCTCATACCTCTTCAAGCCCGGCATCTACAACTTGGTACAGCCGCCTTTTCCCACGCTGTTCAAGGCTAGCTAAGAGGACTGGCTCCACACTGCGGGAGAATCCGAGCTCTGGCTTTCTGTTGCTGAGGCCAGCCTCCCTCAGGGTGAGCCAGGGGATCTGACTCCCCTGCGCAAATCTGTGGCGTGTAATGCCTTCATTTACTTAGAAACTACACTTCTGAGTAAAAACAACAACAAAAACCCAGGAAAGACCAAGCAAAGGGAGCAAGAAGAAGCGCGCAGGAACACGCCTGGGCCTGGGAACAGCCCCAACCTCATGAGCCCTTGCAGTTTAGCCCCCACGCGCGACACCCGACCGAGCGCAGCCACCCGCCTCCGGTCCCGGAGGAGGCGTGGCCCGCACGCGCCGCCATCTTGGGCGCCTCTCTAGGCGCCGTGTTTACTACTCTATGATCGCCCGCTCCCGCCCCGCCCCTCCCCAGTCATTGTCTGGAGGAGCAGCCGCGGCCGCAGCGCCTTCTCTTTATAAGCCCGCAGTGCCCGGATGTGAATGGATTACAATGTATCTTTCAGGGAAACCTATTATTATCAATGTGACTCCACGGGGGAGTCAATGGTGATGATGAGGAGGAGGAGGAGGATGATGATGATGAGACACCTCTAAACTTGGAACAAGTTTAAGACTTTATAAGAGGAGAAGAAAAAAAAACCACCAACAAGATTTGTTTGAGGAAAAATTCTAACTATCCTGTATTGATATTTTTTTTATAAACAATAAGAAAAAGTTGTTGGATTTTTTTTTTTAATGATTTCTTTTTTGGGGGAGGGGATTTTGTTGCAGTTTTACGGTGGAAAATGCAAAAAACAGAACCAGGTGCATAATCTTGTATTCTGTGGATATCCCTGGAGCAGAACTGAGTACCAGTTAAAATACTTTTTTGGGGGATACACATGTGAGATACTAAGTACTTGCAGAAGATTTTTGTCTTTCTTTTTAAAGTCACTTTCCTTGGAATATTGTGAGCATATTTGTGGCCATTTAAGGTAACGTTACAATTTGCTGTCAGAGTAAACTGTTTGTAATTGAATTTAATTTTTAAAATGTCGATCCCAATGTTTTATTAAAACAAAAGGAACAACCTATTAAATAATTGCCAATGGGAAAAAGTGTGTGCATGCATTTTGTGTATGTACTAGCACATCTAGCAATAACAGGGTTTCTGGAATGTGTATTTTAACACACGTTAAAATAGCGTATGTTGCATATACTGGATAAAGCACGCTTGTTATTACGAAACGATAGAATTATGAAGCTTAATTTTTATCCTAAAAAGTGATGTGAAAAAGTATGTTTTAAGAGCATGCAAGGCCTGTAATGGTAAATGTTGAATTCAAAACTTACAAGTGCTGGCGAACGGGGACTTAGCGTGGCTAGGAACTCAAGTGTAAAAACAAAACAACATCCACCCTCAAAAATTGCCTTTTTTTTTTTTGTTGGCGAAGTTTGCAGCTATACTAATCTGTGACTTGAAAGGAAGGGGAAAGAAAGTATGCAATTTAGGTTTCGCCCCCAATGCAAAAGTACCGAAATGAAAATCTCCCCAGCAAAATGTGGCTTGGTTTATATATGGAAAAGAAAAATATTGTTCCTCTTGGCAAAGTCTTTTTGCATCACGTGTATTTGCAGCCTAGTATAAACTTGCTTTGCTGTGTGTGGATGTGTGAGTGAGAGGGAACGAGAGTCAGAGAAAGAAAGAAGTGAGGGGATGTAAACTCGAATAAATTTCAAAGTGCCTCCGATGGATGAAACGGGCAAAAACTGAACTGTTCAGGCTTCAGATTGTAACTGACGATCTGAGGGAAAATGAGGTGCTCGATGAATTTTCGTTTGTATTTTTTTGCGAGGCGGGGGAGGTGTTGAGATTTTTTTTTTCCTCGGGGGGGGGGTGGGGTGCATCCCAGCCAGCCCGACCCGAGCGAGCCGCGTCTCCCCGCCGGAGCCCCCCCACCCATTTCTTTGCTGAACTTGCAATTCCGTGCGCCTCGGCGTGTTTCCCCCTCCCCCCTTCCCTCGTCCCCTCCCCTCCCCGGAGAAGAGAGTTGGTGTTAAGAGTCAGGGATCTTGGCTGTGTGTCTGCGGATCTGTAGTGGCGGCGGCGGCGGCGGCGGCGGCGGCGGGGAAGGAGCAGGAGCGGGCGCGGGCGCAGGAGGCGGAGGTGGTGGTGGTGGAGGCAGTGGTTAGACATGAACGCCGCCTCGGCGCCGGCGGTGCACGGAGAGCCCCTTCTCGCGCGCGGGCGGTAGGTACGGGCGCCGGCGGGGCTCGGCGGGCTGATGCGCCGGGCGGCGCGGGGCTGGGGCTCGGAGGCTCCGCACGCGGCTCCGCGCCTCCCGAGCCGCGGGCTCCCGGCTCCCGGCGCTCCCAGAAGAGACACCCCTTCCCCTCCCGCGCCTCTTCCCTCCCCCTCGTCTCTACCCCCCCCCCCCGCCCCCCCTCCCCAGTCATGCCACTCGGAGGGACCGATGACTTTGCCAAGGGCCTGACTTTAATTTCTACAACCCTTTCTTTCACAAATTAGGGTGCTGGACAATTACAGGACCCGACCCTCCACTCTGCTCCCCCCTTTCGCCGACCCTGTCACCCCTCCCCCTTTGGACGTGTTTTCACTCCAGAGACGCTCATCTTTAATTTCTTTATAGCTACTTTGAAATGCAGAGGGGAGTGGTGTGTGTGAGTGTGTGTGCGTGTGTGTGTGTGTGTGTGTGTGTGTGTGTGTGTGTGTGTGTGAGGGGGGTGGGGTGGAAGGTGGGGGGGGGAAAGTTGAGACCGGATCGTTCTGAGTAGTTTCTCTTTTCTCTGTGATCCATTCATTTCTCGCTCTACCTCCTGTTGCATAAAATGATGCGCTGAAGAGCGGCTTTTTTTTTCCCCTCCTTTCCCGGATTTGGTTTTATAGTGGATGTTACCAGTTTTGATCGTCTCTTTGGAAATACAATTATCAGTATCGCTTTTTTTTTTTTTTTTTTTTTTTTTTGCTATTGCTGCCTATTCCATCTTAAAAAAAAAAAAAAACAACAAAACTCTCCCATCCCTCCCTCCTTTCCGCCTTAATCCCGCCCGCCCCCACATCCCCACCCCCCAACCCCCCCAGTCTCCAAAAATCCGATTGTGTTTTCTCCAAGGATTGGGACTGGATTTTCTGATTGCGGTTATTTCCATGTTTCTAGGTTTGTGTGATTTTGCTAAAATGCATCACCAACAGCGAATGGCTGCCTTAGGGACGGACAAAGAGCTGAGTGATTTACTGGATTTCAGTGCGGTAAGAAAGAACGGTGGAAACTAACAACAGCTGTGAAAAACAAAACAAAACAAAACAAAAAACCCAAACACTTCAGCTAGAAACCAATAGTAATCTAAAGGACAGGAATAATTTTTTAATTGGTTGAATCTTTGGCAAACATGAAGGTCTTTTTGATAAGTTTTTAACTACAATTTTTGGGTGTGATGGACGATTCAGGCTTTTTTTTTTTTTCCCAGAGTGTAAAATTACTTGCCTTGGATTCCCTACCCACCGGACCCTCAAAATAATGGAACCTCCCCCCAAATGAAAGGACAAACAGACCACCCTAAAACTTGGCCTTACCTGGACATGAGAGTACTAATACTTTGCGCAGTATTCCTTTTATTTTTGTTTTTCTGGAAATGGAAAGGAGCAACTAGGAGACCCAGTTGTCTCTTAAAGTTTTAAATTGATGATGCTTTGGATACGTATTAGTTACATCTCTTTCTAGGATTCTGAAAACTCGTGCATATGTGCTGGGCACACACTCTTTAGAACCCTTTAGACCGGGTTGGTGCATTTCACAGTCGTGAGATCAGCACAAAGCAAAACTTGCACACTTGTGGAGTTTTACGGCTGTAGTTGGTCCTGCATCCCTTTGCTTCCCTTTCCCAAATCAAGTCCCAGACCCGGCAGGGGAATTCACTCATTTTTAATGCCGAGAGAGTTTGGTGTAAGATGCATTTGCAAAGCAAAATAAAAAGAATCCACAAAACACGCAAATAAAATCCAAACCGCCTTCTAAGTGGGGCTCTTTCATGTTGCTGCTGCCGCTGCCGCCGCCGCCGCCGCCGCCGCCGCCGCCGCCGCCGCCTCCGCTGCTGTTGCTGCTGCTGCTGCTGCTGCTGCTGCTGCTGCTGCTGCTGCTGCTTCTGGACCTTCTTCTGGAGAAATGGCTTTCGGAAGTTTTGCCAGGAAACGTAGCCCTAGGCAGCTTTGTAGCCCCCTTTCTGCTTGCTGCACTTTCTCCATTCGTTCCTTTGCTTTTTGCAGGCTCTGACTCAGGGAAGGTGCGCATTATCCACTAGATACGTCGAAGAAGAGGGAAGCCAATTAGGGTCGAAATAAATGCTGGAGAGAGAGAGAGAGAGAGAGAGAGAGAGAGAGAGAGAGTGAGAGAGGGAGAGAGAGAGAGAGAGAGTGAGAAAGAGTGAGAGAGAGAGAGAGAGTCTTGCTACAAATTGCTCTCATGTTAGAGACGAAATGAGAATTTAGTGCAGGTGGCACTTTTATATTTATTTGGGTTCACATATGACAGGCAAATCCTATACGGGATGGAAATGGACATTGCCACGTTTATGGCCAAGGTTTTCAGCATAAAGCAAACAACTTTTTTCTTCTCCTTTGTAAAACTAGTGTTTTCTGGAGAGGCCGCTGCCCTCCACCCTGAATCTTGATAACATTATGGGGACTGTTTGTTTAAAGTGGACCAGTGCTGCCTAGTGCTGGCAGTCTAATGAACCTGAGGAAAAATTAAGAACAGAGTGGTAAAAGGGGGGGGGGGGACTGGTAATGTTATGCTTGTTTTAGTTTTAAGTTGGATGGTGATGTATTTTACTAAAATGAACCCTTAACGTAAACTCTTAAGCTATTTGGTAAGAGTCTGAAAGATCTTTGACGAACTCTGAAGGCACAGATGTCTTTTTTTCAACAGTAATGTTTCTTTGTTTCTTTTAGATGTTTTCACCTCCTGTGAGCAGTGGGAAAAATGGACCAACTTCTTTGGCGAGTGGACATTTTACTGGCTCAAGTATGTAAATTCTTTTCTTAGCATGTAGTTAAATGTTCTTAGCTGTTTATTCACTCATTGTATATTTTTGGCTCTGTTGAAGTGTTCTGGAAAAGTCATTGAAATTGTAGCCTGTAATGATACGGTTATTTCACTGTCCATCGGTGGTATAACTTACACAAAATGTTATCTTTTGCAGAATTAAAATTAGGCCTTTTTTTTTTTAAATCAAGGAAATTGTCTCAGAATTCCATTTCTTAATTTAAAAGCAATTTTCTAATACAGTTGTAATCAAACATGTGAAGATAAGGCCAGTGTTGACACGGGGAAAATTAATTTATTTCCCTGTTTGAAAATAGAGGGAAAAATCTAACTTTCAAAAAAAAGGGAAAATCCCTCGTAAATAATATTAATTATTAGGTACTATGTATAATTAACCCTTTTAAAGAAGTGAGCACTTACTTTGCAGATGACTGCTGCATTGTAAACCATAGCTGTAAATAGAGAGCCTCTTGCTAATCTGAGAGCTAAATATGAATTCATTTCTCTTTAAAGCATTCTTTTTGATGCTTTAGCTATTTTTTGTTCTCTAAGCATTTCCTCATGCAGTGAATTTTTGCTATAGTTAAAGTTTCAAATTTGCAAGGACTTTTACATTTTATAAATGAAAGGTCTTTGGGTGATGCTTAAAAAAGACGTTAGCGCTATTCACAAAGGAATCTGTGTGCGCAATGATTATGTGGCTTCTAAGGAGGAGTTTTAGTAGGGGACTCCCTGAAGGTCTCTTATAAAGTGAAAACTGAAAATATGATACTACTTAAAATATGTATATATTTTTTTGTCCAATGAATTTCGCATAGGAAGGAGGCATCCATGGTTACCTGCTATCCTTTGGGCTTAAAGCTTAAATCCACTTATACTTTTTAAACAGCTGTAGTATTTTAGGAGTTCTGACAGTGGTAAATACCAGTACATTAGACAGAGTACCATTCTTGAGTCAGGCTGGTAAATGTTGACATCTTTTAGCTGCGAGGTGCCAGTGGAATTTTCTGTTAACTATTGAATATCATTTCACATCTCTTAATTTTCATCTGATGCTCTGGCAATGAAAGCAATCTGTTCACCTTTGCGATTTGTGTAATTAGGATGCTTTTATAAAATTAGTGGCTTTTAAAAGTTGCTCATTTCCAAATAAGTTACTTCTCCTTTTTCTGGCCCCCACTAGGCTAAGTAACATGTTTATAATTTATAAGATGCTTCCTATGGTTATATTTTATCTTTTCAGTTTTGGGGTCCACCTTGATTAAAAGTACTTCTGACAATATATTTGTATTTTAGTGGCCTGGACCCTGTTATATTTTCCATTTACAGACTTAATATTTTTGTTGTTGTTGTTGTATTGGTATTTTGTCTTCCAAATTTTGGTGTTGTGTTCTCTACACAACTTTGAAGTAAAGATCAGTGCAAGAATCTCTTGTAGGCAGATTACTATTTCATGCTAGTATCAAAACAGTAACAGACTTTATCTCTGACAGCAATTTTCTTCATGGTTTTACTTAAGAAAACGTGTATTCAGCTTAAATCTAAAAGTAGATTATGTCACAAAGGCCCAGAGATAGACTGCTTTCAAAGTGCAAAACACTCTCTTGCACTCTGTGAAAACTGACACATTTGGAATAACTTAAGTGTATCAGTTTAGGTATGGTTTAATAAAGCAAAGTGATTTAGAAGCATGAAATTGTGTTACATTTAAAAAGACAACTGTGCATCTGGGCCCTTTTCTGTGTTCACATTTAAATAAAGTCCTTGCTATGATGTTTAAGTGTTTACAGAGAGTACAGGCTGGATAAGTATGAATATGTATTCATGCATTTTAGTAAGTGATTATGTATTGAACTTACACAGTTCTTAAGACAAATATATATACACACACACGTGCGCACATGTGCACACACACCAAACACACACACACACACACACACACAAACCCAGACAGAGACGTCATCCTTAGTGACATGTCACATACGATATTTCTAATGAATATACTGTGATTATTTTTAAGGTGTTGAACTTTGAGTTACGTTGTACCACAGTTGTAGTTTTCAGACCCAAATGTTTGCTTTTAAAGGTAAAAAAGTGTAGTGGCTATTTTGTGGTGGCAGCTGAATTGAAAATGCAGGGTACTCATCCAATGCAGTGTGATGGTGATTATAATATATGGAGTACAGATTGTAGTGTTGGTTTTTCTCATCTATTCAAGACATATTTGAACACAGGGCTATTAGTGAAAAAAATGGCTTATATTTCCATTCCATTATATTTCCACAACAAAGATGAATCCCTTTTAAAGAACATCAGGTAGAAAAATCAGGAAAACTGCATTTTGCCTTTTAACTGAAGGATGAGCTAGGAAACTTTGGGCAGAGAAATAATTTTCTAAATTTACTTCAGGTTAATACTCGTCTTGAGTGGGCTCAGGTGTGACTTTCATGGGTAGCTTTGAAACTTGGGTCTAAGAAACAAAGATCCGAACTGTAAGTAAGTGAACTGTTTGTTCATCTTTGCAAAACCAGCTGTATTTCTTCAAGGTGAGGCATGGTGATATTTCATACTTAAAGTTCCCAATAGCTTTTGAATCGATTAATATAGGATGCTCCATCGTGATTTGCAATGTGGGAATGAAAATAAAGTGTGGTCATATTCCCTTTAATCTTTTCATTTCTCAAACATGGGTTTTCCTACCACCTTAAGAAATGGTGAGGCTGCTAGGGAGAATGGAATGTAACCTGAGCTACAGCCTGACATTCCCAGGGAGCATTTTTCACATGAAAGGCTTTTGTCAACCCAGGAAAGGACCTGCAGTTTTTGTTTGATGTTTGCAGGTGTTCAGCAGAGAGCACTAAAACAATTCAGCCATGATGGTTCAGAGCTTCGATGACCTTAACAGGATGAATTGGTGGGCTCTGGAATTATTTTTAAGAAATAGTTGTAACCTATATGGTAACTTATACAAAGGGATTTAATATCCGTTATATCATTGCTCTTAAAACAAGCTAAAAGGATACACATGCCTGGATGATTGGAAAATTATTCTCATTAAAAAGTAAGATGGCCAAGTTACCAAAAGAAAAAGCAAACAAGCACCTAAAGTCTATAATTTATCGATGAACGGGGCTTAATTTTCTATTCTAACAAAAAATACAGTTTCTTTGGTTACCTTTGAGTCTTTTAAAAGCAAAAGATAAACATCCTGGTTTTGGCATCTTTTTAAAAAGTAGTTTTAAAGTTGGGCCACTAAAATGATCTATATTCAAGAACAGCCCTGGTCACATCTGTTACGTGTATTTACAGTTAGTCTATGATGGATACTACATCTTCCTCCCTTAGTTTAAAAGTTGAGCTTTTCCCCCCTGTAACTGTTTAGTTTTACTTAGGTGTTCAGTGTTTGTGAAAGATTGCCAAATGAATGGGTGTTTGAACAATTAAGAGCAGAAGTAAAACACACTACATCCCCGTCATGGTCATTTTTGGAAGAAGACAAACATTTTTTAATGTTCATGCAGGTTAGCTAACCTATATCCACGTAACACCCAATGACACATCAATGTAGTAAGTTCAGTGAGAAAATGAATCCAGTGGGTAGTTTTTGTATCACAGAGAAAATTCAAATGGTCAGCATCCTGAATTAATTTCCATCCATAACTGTTTGCATTCATGGTTATAGTGTGAAAAATAATTGCTCTCCCCTTAAAGGCATCTGTGGGGTAGAATTATTTAATTGTGTGTATCTGTATTTGTGTGTGTGTGTGTGTGTGTGTGTGTGTGTGTGTGTGTGTGCATTTGTGTGTTTCAAACAGCCTTACTATTGTAGTACAACTCACAAGTGTGGTATGGCTTTTTTGTAAGCAGCAGACCAAGTAAATAGGTTTAAAAGTAAGTAAAGGGGCATTAAACCCATTATATTAGAATTACAGACTTTTGGGGATAGCAACCTCTTTTAGTATACAGTCCGTTGTCTTCATTGTCCAGCCAAAGAAAACTGAGGCCCAAGTTAAGGAGGTTCTAACCTCTGCCTTTATTTGCTATTCTAAAAAACAAGTTCTGATTTGCTAATTCTTTATGGCTCTGCACATCCTTTATTGGACTAACATTGGTTTCACTACTATGTTTTTCCTTAATTTGTGTTGCATAATAAGCTATAGGATTATACCCTGTGTGCTGATGTTGCTTCTGCATATGTGCTTGTGCCCTTCGAATGCTTTTTAAGGTTTAGAACTGAATTTTGGATTATTGATCATTTCTCTTTACCTTAGCTCCCCCGTGACTGTTTGCAAGATATTAGACAGGATAATAGGGTATGGATGGGCCTGACACTGACAAAATACAAGTGCTTAATATGTCAAGTGGTGCGCTCTGCGACTTATATTTATTATACATTTTTACTCCTCTCAAGAACCAGGAGATGCAAGGGTTACCATGCTCAATTCATAGATGAGGAAACTGAGATTCAGAGATGGTAAATGACATGCTCTCAAGGCAGCCAGTAATAAATTAGGTTTTAAGCTCACGTATGCCTAACTCAGTGTCCTTTGCACACATACACACATGGTCCGATATAGATTATTTTTCAAGATTATGTAGACATAGGAATATATTATTGAGGTTTGGCATGTAATATTATTCCTGATCTTTAGAGTAGATAAGCAGTTTTTAAAAACCATATTTAAGATAATGATATAAACCATGATATTTTTCTTGCCTTAGTGTCCAGATAAGCTGGCTTTCTAATTCATTTTGGATTTCAGTGTGACTTAGTGTGTCTCTTTATTATTGCTATTATTATTCTTATTACAAGGAGAATATAGTAGATCTTTTCAAAGTTGTGCTTTCATTCTATTGTGAATTGACAGTGTGCCCGGGTGCCTGTGAAAATACCTTGTTTTCAGTTATTTTTAATGTACCTAATCAAACTAAGAGGGGAGGTACCCAAGCCTGCTCTGTTAATATCTAAAAAATAAAGA